CGATGCCAGGAGCCCCTAGTATCTACTTGTTCCTAGTAGTATGGCCAGGAGACCCTAGCAGCGTCCTGGCTCCTTGTTCCTAGCAGTAAGGCCAGGAGCCCCTAGCAGCGTCCTTGCTCCTAATAGCGATGCCGGGAGCCCCTAGTAGCGTCCTTGCTCCTAGTATCACTGTCACAACTCTCAGATGTTTCTCTGGGTTCAAGGCATTTGCACCGTTCAAGTCGCTCCATTTCCCCGCGGGACATTTATGGCAGTCATCTAACGAAGTGCCGCCTGCAGCTATGCCGCTCATCCGCAACGGCACACTGCAAAAGAACAAGTCTATAGTTGCTCAAGGGAAGCCAACAAGAAGTAGCTTACTTGGTCCCATGCTTCTTTTAAACTTGCCAGGTTCGGACTTTCCCTCATTCTCCCAGTGGTGGGACTCGGGACGGTATTTCTCACACCAAGCCTGTTGCAGCTCGCCACCTCCCAGGAGGACAGCTGTGGCAGTTGTCTGGATGGATGTGTCCAGTGCCAGGGCTGTACCTCGGCGAAGGAAACTAAGACTCCGCCGCAAGGGAAGGTTCAATTCTCCATCTGCCCCTAGATTCTCCAGTGACACCGGATTCACTTGCCGTGAGGTGTCTTTGCTGCTTTGCTGAGGCATGATCACTGGACTCAACCCTTTGCACATCATAAATCGTAATCTAAACATCTGTTCGGCAGGATGCAAGTTGCATTTGCATGGCAAAAACGAAAGGTTTAGGCTCTAGACCTTGAGTGTGTTGAACCGGTGAACATTGAAAACCCATGAAATCCCTCAGACCCAGTCGAGCTGCCGGCCAGGCCCACAAGCAATACATGCAGATTGATCAACACTTCCGTGGAGATCATTCCACCTGTAGGTGTGGTCCAAATGCCAACCGACGCATCCGGCACTCCATCCAAGCAAAGTGATTGCAGCAGGATACACTCCCTATTGAGCTGGGACCGGCCTGCTGCAAAAACCCTGACTAGGCTTCCTCTCTCCAATCTTCCTGGCCTTCCAGCTGGACAGGCCATGCAAAGGGATGAGGCGTTCGCCGCCACCCAGCTGCCATAACGCCCAAGTGGACAATCTTGACAAGCATCCTCCAGAAAACGTCGGTATCACCGGACATAACGGCACTGAGTGTTCGACATCAATGTAAGTAGAGTCTAAGTAGAGATTGGATCATGTGGTGTCATCGACCAAAAAAAAAACTCGCACTTCATACAAGCGAGCATCCACATCCGGGCCTCACTGACAGCAGCCACCTGGCTGGCCCACTTGCCTCAGCACTAACCCACCAACACCATCGGCCGTGTGAGGATATGTAAAAGGGTGGCAACGCGGTATGAACCGAAACCGAACGGTAAAATGCGCTTAGGCAATTTCTGACCAAGCTGAAACTGTGGGTGCGACCAGCAACGCATGGCTGACATACCTTGGGGTGCCACAGCGTTTGGGTCAGTGCATCCATCTTCAACTGGTGAAACTACACAGCTGCGCAGTAGACAGTATACCCTGGATACCCTCAGACCTTGAACTTTGCACATGTCAATGGGCTTAGAGTATCAATTCACCTACAGGCAAAGTACAAAACCTCTCCTCTCCAAGGAACATTGGCTGCAGTGGCGGCCTCCTGCACCAAACTTTCTGCTTCAGGCTTGCAGCAAGCAAACACCGGAGTCTGCTGCTCCATGCAATGGGTGGGGCCAGAAACTAGTGGCACACATAGCCTAGAGTTCCCATCGGGAGAAACTGATCAAGCCCCTGCAGTTTTGTGGGTGATTAATTAGTTCTGGTCATTCATCATTCATTCACCTCAGTTCGGGCGTCATGTGCGATGAGTCCTGACTGCTCCACTTCCCTGCTGGGCAGCTACTGCAAACGACGTCTCCAGCACTCCAGGTACCAGCTGGACATGGTCCACAAACTTTGGTGCCTGCACTGTCAAAGGCGCATTGGCTGTCCATCACAAACACCCAAAGGAAAAGTGAACGAATCTCCTGGAAGATGTCCATGTCCGGCAGCGCAGGGAGTGTCTGCTATGCCTGAGCCTGATGGGCAAGAACTGTAGAACTTTCCTGGTGACTGAGTCATCCTCGCCTCTGCAAATGAGGATTGCACTGATTGCACTGCAAAGTGCCTAGCTGCATCTCTGAGGCTTGATGACCCAAGAACATACTTGAAACATCAATAAACACTAACCCATTGCAGAGAGAGCAACATATTCCCCAGTGCCGTCCAAGCTGCAAGCTGCATCCACTTCAGCTCCCACTGTGCATTGCCGCAACATGCCAGGAGTCAAAAGAGGTGTCAAGTCCCCGTAGGCTGCAAGCTGCATCGTTGAAGGGCATTATTGGATTGCTTGGCGGTTTCCCATAACTTAGCTGCGATCCCAACACCTGCTAAGTACAGAGTTGGAAAGGTGTCATCCTATGTTATGCTGCTTTTTGTGGTGTTTTGTAAGGTTCATCATCAACATGCTACTATCATGGCTATACCTACACAAATTCCTTCTAATCGCAGCTCCAAGCTCAGCTGCGGTCGAGAATGGTAAAATTGCATTAAAAATACATACAGCAGGTCAGCATCCGCAAAAGGCATTCAAGACCTCAGACACACACTGCACCGGGAATCTGCAGAAGCACAATGGTTGGTGCTTTCGAAGCTGCGGCTTTCACCAAGTGGTCACCTCCAGTGTGCATCTCGATTTGCAGTGTCGATGATCGCGTTTTATGCCAAGCCACTCTTGTGCCCCAAGTCAAGGCTGGTGCCTGATAACTTTGGTGTTGAGATTGACTTGTTGCCACACTGCCTGATGAGCATAATTAATAGTAATTTTGGGGCCGTGACGATCAGAACCTTCACTGGCATCCTCAGCTGCAGAAAATCTCAAAAGGTTTTGAGTTGCCACAAGCTGCACCGTGTTCCTCCAATTCAATTGACTTGAGCGTGCAAAGGATACATTGCATACTAACAAACACGCACAAAGTGCATGCACACATAACTGCATCACCTGTTTGAAGAGTATTGGAGCTTCACTAATAGACTATGCAAACATGCTGAAAGGAGTGTCACAGCCGCTCCAAACACTCAAAGTGATGGTCAAGGATCAAGAAGCTAAATTACTCAGCATGCCGCGCAGTCCAAAATGACTATCTAATCTAACATCTACTGTGTTGAGGTTGTAGGTTTCCAGGTATGAAATGGATTTCGGCTTTCGGACATCCAAGGGGCTACACCAACCACAACGATGATGGCATCGACAGTGCCACCCAATGACTTCGCCTGGGCGCGCAGGACATGTCACTCTTGGACTCTTGGAGCTACCTCACAGTAGTCCTCACAGTATTGAGCAGCCCCGCTTCTTCTGGAGTGTGGCTATCTGGTCTGATGATTTCGATGTTTTCTTTGGCCGCCCTCTCCTAGCGTGACTTTCAGCAGCATCAATCACATGGCATGCAATCATGCCAGGTCCAACAAATGCGTGCATGCGTGACGGAAAAACACTTCTCAACTTCCCAACAAATCAAGCAGTAAAGCCTTTGATAGATGAATCGAACATCCCCAGACCAGCCGTGCACAGCAACAGCATGTGAGTCCAGTGTCACTGGGCTTCACCCACTCCCACACCACACCGGCTGCTCCTCAATGGCAGCCAAGGGGGTCTTGGCCGATGAGTCCGGCTGTACATAGCCAGAACCTTGCCATGTCAGGCTGACAGTGTTCCAAACCCCTCCATGTTTCAATGTGTGTTGTGGTGTTTTTCATAGGCCTTTCCCGACATAGGTCCTGTGAGTTTCATCGACGGCCGCTTCCCCCAGCACTGCGATCCTGGACTTGGGTGGCAAAGTCATGAGTCAGATTGGCCTGAGAGGAAACCGGGGCCAGTCCTTCGAACTTTGTCTTTGGTCAGTGGCAGCAGCCCATTGTTTTTCATCAAGACTACCGAAGACCTTGGCCGCGAAGGCAGGTTCCAGCAACTGCGTCCGCCCCGTCTTCGAAGTCTATGAACATGGTTTGTCCACCCAAACATGTTCCATAGATATTCCTCAAAGTTCTGGCGGGTGTTAGGCCATGGTAAAGCGACGGAGAAGTTGTCCAACCATGTCCCAGTGTTGTGGGGATGGGCACCAAGCATCAGGAAAATCAGCTCCAAAAACAGAAGCGTTCAGCGTGTTGCTGATCGAAGCTGAGAAGTGAGGGGAAGAAAGCCAACCCTTGCAAGCGCGGATGGCTAGGGCAACATGCTTGACTCGAAAAAACAAACAAGCGATGTGAGAGTCTCCAACACTCCCGCGCTGACCCCTTGACAATACCCATTTCGTTCGCAAGATTCGTTTAAATATTCGATATTGCACCTGCCGCGTCTTGCTTTGTCAAGAGTCTTATTGCCAGAGCCCGCTTTTCGGAGGTGCCCTTTTTTGCTCCGAAGCGGCCACCGAACAAGGCGCAGAAGGGCACCAACAAAAACTCCTTTAAGGTTTTTCTGGGAAACTTGGTGCTAGCACCCACTAGCTCAGAGGTGCCCGCTTTTGTTTCAAGACAGCCTTCAAACATCAATGCCCTACATACCTGCATCAGAAATTCGTTGTAGCCGTGCCCTGTTTTGTTGAGGGCCTTTTCGCTGGTTCCTGCTTCGACAAGTCGTTGCTGCAGGGTCCCGCTTTGTCAGGGGCCTTCTAGCTGGGTACTGTCAACAATATTAGTCACATCAGGTGACTGGAAAACTGTTAATCTGCAAGGGGGGGCCCGATGCGACGGGGTCACATCAGGGTCACATCAGGTTCCTGTTTACAAGGCGCTTTAGTGATTGAAAAATGTGTTGGTTTTATACGAAATTATTCCATTTTCTTTGCGGAAGCAGCAGCAGTAGGCATTTACACCAGCAGCACACCAGCAGCAGCAGCAGCTACCACCACCACCAACACCACAACAACAACAACAACAGCAACAGCAACAGCAAACACGCAGCTCTTCCTACACTGGAACAACAGCGGCACCCTTCAGCGGCACCAGCACCCACGCTCGAAAACGCACACACGCAGCTCCTTGAAGTAAGAACCCTAATAGCTCACGCTGTCTGTTGAAAAAACACGATGCAATGATGCAACAAGGTTGTTGAATCTATCACACAAGCAAGCAACGCATGGGCACAGCACATTAACATCAGTTCGTAGAACAAATAGAACAACAACAAACATCCATAGAAAAGCCAATCCCCAAGGGCACACCATTTTGATACGACTTTCCTCCAGTTGATACGACTTAAAGCGAGGCCCCAGTAGCATTGAAAGAAAGGTTAGCTAGATCATTTGCATGTCGCATGTTCTCAAAACAGCATGGAATCATGAAACCGATGCGACTTCCCGAAGACCTTTCGACGCAAGTAACGGCAACATTTAGCGCAAACCGATGCGACTAATCTATCTGAGAGTAATTATCTGTTTTTGTCCCGACACAGAACCTCGGTGCTAGCACCCACTTACTCAGAGGTGCCCTTTTTTGCCCCGCGACGGCTCAAGCGCAATCACTTCATTCTGAAAAGCCGTCCACAAGCACCGGCGGAATCTCTCACGGAGATCATTACCGATGTCAGGCCATTCCGGTCCAAGCTCAGGTGCTTCTGCAAGGCACGATCCAACCAAATGGCAAGGAGTCCCATTCGGTCTCTTGCGGGCTTGTCATGTCTCCAAGCCGCCATGCAGTAGGATCGCAAGTTACGAAGGGCCACAGTGCCAGTAGTCTCATTCAGGGTCACGGCAATGTGGCTTTGGAAACGGGTCATGTCACCTTTCGGAGGGATCCGGCAATGTGGCTTTGGACAGCGACTGGGCTGACAGAACTAAAGGCTTGTTTCTTCGCCTTTAACATAAGGGAAACGCCGAGCTCTTCTCAGCAGATTTCAAGCGAGCTGTCTCAGTATCGGAATTAGCCCGATGTCTGTGAAGTTCGACCACGTGCGTAGAAGACAACTCCACCGCAGGAACGCCAGCAACCCTAAAGTCGCCATCATCAAGCAGCGATCAGTTCCATGAATGCGTTGGGTCAAATTGCAGGCGTCTTAATTTACAGCACTCGCGACAGGGCCAAGATAGGGAATCAGAGCAGACATTGACCAGGCATCGCCTGCTGGCCAAAGCACAGGACGTTGACCGCTCCAACATGAATCTACTAATACTTTGACAGTGCAATCAGGCAGGCATAAGGTTCGAAAAACCTCAGCAGCGTCAGTAGCTAGCTTTTGGGGGCGGAGTTCTGTTTTGACACGCTCTACCTCAAGAGTGGGAGGGCACTCTCGCACTTCCTGCGGAAATCGCTGCGCCGCGCACTCGCTTCGCAAGCGCTTTTTTGACTTTGGTTGGCGGACTTTGGGCGCCATAACTTTCTTGGCACTGTAAATCATAACTGGCACTGGAACCGGCAAATTTGCCAAAGCACTCCAAAAGATGCTGTTATGCCCAGTTGACGATGCAAAGGATTAAGTCATGCTCAATTGATGATACAAATAATGCTAGCAACTGTTGAGGCATCACTCGCATCACCAACACCGTTATAGTCTAGTGCAACAGTTTGCAAACCCATGTGTTTTTTATTTCCACTCTTTTTGGCAACCCCTCCTAAAACCGATGCTAAAACCAACTTCGCTCGCCTAACAGAACTTCAGCCTAGCCTATCGGTTGGCTTTCGTAAAAATATCGACGCAAATCCACGTATATACAGCCAGCATCAAAAATGTCTTCGTGGTGTGACGTAGTATGAGGTTGTAGGAGCTTACAGTAATTACAGGATAAGTAGGAATCCTTTCTGTGCTATCTTGCCGTTGGCATTTCCAACACAATCCACTGCACCTGCTACGCAATGCTGTCCATGATCAAAAGGCTGTTCTAAGGCGCCTGCGCTGCAGCATGAAACGCGATCTCTTCATGCCGCTGTCCACGGGTCGTGGCTTTGGTCTGGTCAGAGACCAACTCCTAACACACGCAGTCACTGAGTGGAGCTTCCAGGAACTGGAGTGAATGCTGCTTTATTTTTAGCGTGGGCGTGGTAGGCCATAGTGGTCGTAAGGGGTAAGGAAGAGTTTAAGTAGCTACCACATGGAACGCCGGCTAGGGCTCAGGCTTAATGATGTTTGTTTGATGTTGTTTCTATTTTGGGGGGGCACTTAACTCTTTGGCTCCTGTCAGGGGAACATGTCGGGCATGTGGATAACAGTGGATAATGGCCGGTGATAACAGCAGCTTTTTATCATTTGCTGGCCAACCGGTCAACATACACCCACACTCAAGTCACATCCAAATGTTGGTTCAGCTCCTGTGTACAATTTGGCGGCGTGCAACCAGGTTCGCGATCAAGGCCCATACGGTACACGGCTGTGAGAACGTGTGAAGCTGCAGCTTCTCGAATATGCTTGTCCTAAGTCATCATATCACACATCGATTTCAATCCGTCACTGCAGCATCTATGAGCGAAGTTGAGCAAACATCTCGCAATATCAGCAGTGTAGCACCGGTGCTTTCTCATGTAACACATCTGTAGCTGTAAGCCACTGTAAGCTCAGGCCACTTACCACTTTGTTGAGCTCCTTGTCCGTAAGGACGGCCGACTTCGCTCCCAGGGGCAACTTAGGGCCGATTGCAATGAGAACAACAAGTTTTAATCGTTCTGCAAAACAGGTGCTAAGCCAATATACCTGAATAATACCAGGTTGTTCCTGGTCCATACCAGCTGCCAAAGCGTCCTGTCCATACAGGTCCGGACAGATCGCAGTAAGATCACCCTCGAATACAGCCAATGAAAAAGATTGACGATTGTTGAGATTGGATGGAGAAAACTGGAGAATACAGAATATGAGCAACTTGCCGTGTGCAGTGGTCGCATGCCCTACTGAAGCCACCTGTTCCTTTGAAAATGGATGAAAATGGTCTGTGGGCACATGCAGTCGTTGGTCCGGCGTGTGCGTTGCTAACCAGTCTGACATCACAAAGCCCTGGAAATCCATCAAGCCACGCAAGTCCTCAGCGAAGCCAGCGAAGCGAAATGCCATGGTTTTCTGATTTCCCCACTGAGCCTCTGGCTTTCTTTAGGAGTTCGGCATTTTGGCACGAGTAGGTTCCATTCACCTGGAATAAAACACACAACTGACAACTACCACAAAATGGCACGTTTTACAAAACGACGTAATGTCAACCTGGTATTAGGGAACCCCCCCCTATTAGTCTACCCCGCGTTCAGGCGCCAATAATAAACTAATTTGAACTATGAATTTCCACAGTCACCACCCTCTAATAAAATGTTTGCTTGGCTGAACCCCCCCCTATTAGTCTACCCCCTGTCCCTCCAGGAAAAATATAATTACTCAAATATATATGTGTTTAATTAGTTTTGTTCTTTTTGCCTTTTCAATATCTTTTGTTCTTTTGGTCATCTCCACTATTAGGGGGATGTGATCTCCAAAACCTCCAAGCTCAGACCTTGTTGACCTTGTTGACCTTCTAGGGGGGGGGGCCCGTTGATTAATACGACGTTGACATTATCTAAAAACGTCACTTTCCATTTTCCATCTCAGCTGACTCATCCTGGGCCATCTAGCAAAAAATGATTGCCAGGGCGTCCAAGTAACTTTGTTGTAAGCACACATGAAGGAGCCAACCCCTGCGGACACCGCGCCCCTGGCAGGCACTTCCAAGCGGAAAAACAAGGCGCCGCAACCGGCATCCAATCGTGACGTGGGGTCCCAAGGCCTGAAAGGAGCAAAGTAGAGCTCCATCGCGGTTCGTTCGGAGGCTTTCGCATCCATGGTCATCCGATGGGTCTCCTGTGAAGATGGTCAAGCGATCAACGTCTCTCCATCTCCGTCTGCTTCCGTCCTCCCTCGCTCCCCCTCTCCCTCTCTGCCTCTCTTAATTCAACACAGCCCGAGCGCTTTGCTGGTGCTTTGTGATATTCGATGATTGTGGATTTTGCCTCGTAATATATAGGTTTTCGCTGTTGGCAAGCAACTGCAAGCGATGCTTAGCAGTCCTTGTCGCTATCACCTGCCCTTGCTGTTGTGTTGTCGCGCTCGATTCTATCAAGTTGAAGCTGTTCATTCTCCTTGCTCAGAATGATGCTCACTAGTGACTAGTGGCTGCAAGCTGTTCATTCTCCTTCGGCCATGATGCTCACTAGTCTCTTTTCCCATCCTTTTCCAAGCTGCCTTCCCGTCTCTTTGTGTCTTTTCTTTCTCTTATTTTAGGGGGTAAGCTAGGTAGGTAGCTAGTAGTAGCTAGGAAGTCGCTAGTACCTTAAGTAGCTACTACCGACAGGACGCAGGATAGCTCACGCTTCTTCAAGGAAACCCCCCACCCGCCCTAAAGGCGATGGGGGGAGCTTCCCCGAAGAAGCTCTCGCACTATTCATTTGGCTCCTAGATTTTTAGGGAAACTTAACTCATAATTAGATGCCGCTGCAACCAAATTGCATGAGTGACTCTGATGTCCATGGTGCTGCATGTAGTATGAGTTCTTCGAAGGTACAGCAGTCACCATTGTAGAATGGAGGCTTGAGCTTGTAGCGGTCTCTTGGTGAATTGCCTTGTTGTCGTTCTGCGTGCCGCTGCTGATGCTGTGTCGAATTGTGCTGGTCCTGTTCGTGCGTGCGCCATCTTTCTTCAGCTCCCCAGTGCTTTGGGATCAAGGCTTCCTCCTCTCTGTTAATACCTTTTTGGTTTATATGAATATGTTGGTTCTTGTTGGGCCCTGCTTACGTAGGAGCTCGCCTCCGTATCTCGCCATCACCGGTTTGCTACCATGTCAAATTCAAGACTGATTCTTGATTGCGCACTCAGCTGCATTGGCTTCCTCTAGACTCTAGGCTCAAGGTGCCTGCAGTATAGTTCATGTGCTGCACAGTCTCTCTGAACATTGTCAACAACTTGTATCTTCACATCTCTCTCACTCTCTTTTCCCAATTTAACACACAGGCATGGTGTATGCCTGTGTGTCAATCGCGCCCTTAACCATCAGTGTGTGTGTGTGTGCCACCTCCCGTCTCCAAAGATTCTACCACTATGAACATTCCTTACCAATTTAATTGTACAGAAGCAGGGGGTAGCTACCAACGAAGACGCCCATTTGATCTGGTGAAATCAGAGTTGGCCACTCTGACGTGCCTGCAACTGTCTCACAGAAGTGATTTAAACCATACTGTTTCCGGACTCTCTCACCTTGCCAACATTCACAGGGCCATTTACAGGTATCAGGCTTCAGCTAGTCGGGTATTGCAGTAACTAATCTTAAAGTGCTAATGCTCACCGCGCATCTCTGAACTTCTGCTCTCTCGAGAGAGCAATTCTGAAGTGTGTAAGTTTTTGACCTCTCACCACACTGCACACACAGCAAAATGCGGCAGCATGTTCAAGCGCGGCTTGTTCCAAGTTCACTCCTGCTCATTGAACGCAAAATGCTTTGCCACAGCCATCACTCCCTGCTCCTGAGTTTCTGCGCTTCGTCGGGAAACACGAGGAGTGAAGAGTCGTTCCACCCCCGGCTCCTGCACTCCCTTCACATAAGCAGCTGTGAGGCGAAAGCCCAAGTGTGGGTCCTGTGGCACCGGACGAGGCACTGGTCACTTATCAACGGACTTTGTTAGAGAAGGATCCACTGAATTCCACTGATGTTGACAGGGCTACATTTGGCTTGTTGACCATGTGCCTTCAGGAAAACGTTCCAACTCCATCTCACCGCTCAGGCAATGGAATCAAATGCCCTGTAAAGTGCATACAAAATATGTTTGCAAAGTGCAATCTCTCAAGTAATGCTACCCATGCTAAACACATTCAAAATCAACGAATAATGCATGCGCACACACACACACACACACCTTCACTCATGCACTCTCTACATGGGCCACCCCTGATCACAACTCTTGGCCCTTGGATGCCCAAGAGTAGGGCCTCGCCAGAGAGGTATTCAAAATTCCGGCCACCAGCTGCAACACGGTGAACATTCACCGAGGGCCCCAGAATCACGTTGGCACCTTTGCCCTGGGAGTCACAGATCAAAGATACTGTAAAGAAGACACCAACTCAAAACAAAGAACAACATGAACAAAGCTAGTTGAAGTACCTGAAGAGAACGAAGAGCCGTATCTTTTCGACGCACCGAGCCTTGAACTCTGTCCCAATGGCGGCCGCAACCAGATTCACCAAATCCTCATCCCACGTTGATGCCAAAGCCAGCATGCCTCAGCCGTGCGTTGGCATAGTCAGTCATAGTCTAGCAAATGAATCTGAATAATACAAGCCTACTTCCAAGATCTTCCAAGCCTCAATCAGCTTAGTGCCAGGCATGGATAGGCCGTTGTGGTGCCACCCGTATTCGGCTCCGTGGGACGAAAGCCTTGTGCTGCATCCTGCATCTTCAAGGCTGGGATCTGAAGCCTTAGGCACTCGCCCGACTCATGGCCATCTCTCACCCGATCGTATGGACCGCCGCTTGGAGCGCGGCCGAGGTATGGAAGCGATATTGCCCACGTAGTAGCCCACGTCTGGCGAACCGGACATCGCAAAATGAGAGCCTCGCAAATGGGCACATGTTGTGGGCTGACTTCGAGCAGCCAACGCGTTGAAGTAAAGCACACCACCAAGACCGCTGGTGAGTTGTAGGAGGTTTGGGATGGGGCAAAGTGTGGTTCTGCAGTCTTGCTGAACGCATCTCGCGTTGACGGGCCTCTGAGCAGGTCGTTTAGCTCGGGGACAGTCAGCTGGGCTACCACCTCTGCAGCCTTCTGTTTGGCCTCGGGGCTTCGGCTTGGCTCTTCATGCAGTCTACCAAGATCTCAACTGCATGGGATCGTGATGGCATCTATTGCAAGAATGTTTCAGATCCGAACAGTATGGTTTTTGCTGTGTCATGCTGTGTCCATATTTTACATTGGACAACAAAGAAATTGCTTCGCCTCGTCCCAGGTTCGGTTCTTTGGAGTGGACTTCAGGAGGATCAGTTGCCTGACATGTCAAAAGCAATGCAGGGCCAGCACCTTGAAGGGTCAGTCGCCTTTGCACCAGTTGCAGGTGAGGTATGTCCTGGTCAGGGGTGACGACGTCAACTCCCAGTTCCGCGGTTCTGCTTTTCATGTAGGTCGAAACTGCCTCCCTCCCTTGTGCTGTCCCAACCATGACAGGATGTCCTGCAGGTTGGGTGTCTGGTTTCGCTCACCCAGGCTGCTGCAGATCAACAGCAAGCCCAGTACTCGCCATGCCATGAGCAAGGCACTCGCCTGGTAGGCTGCATCTAGAATCTAGAAGAAAAACCGACCGAAGGACCCAAAGGATCAAATTATGGTGCATCGCCAAGATCGGGTTCGGGATACTATCATCTAGTGTGGGCTGAAATTGGTTGATAAAACGCACACATGTAATACATTGTAATACCAAATATAGCAAGGCAAGGAACATGTCCCGCTCCAAGGCTGAGCCCCGTGCCAAATATGAAAAACGTTTCGCGTAGAGCTCCGAAGCTTGAAATGGCCACATGCATGAGACAAAGTCCAAGATGTGCAGCACAAGCTTTCTGAACTTTCACGAAAGATTCACTCATTCACTGTCATGAATTCCACATGAGCCGATTCGTGACGAAGTCTCTCCAGATTCGTTTCGACCTCTCCCCGCCTGCATGTGGGTCTCAACCTGTTCCTTGGAAACGGATGATAGAAAATGTCGTGAGACTTTCATGGGCTTATTTGTCTGCACTTTTTCCAAGGCTCAAATTCATCCGGACAAGTTCGGATCAAGTCAGCAATTGATCCAGGAGGTGCACGCCTAAGCCCACGCTTGGAGAATCCAAACAAGAAGACCAACACACACCACATTGGTTGAATTTTGCTGAGCAGTCGGCTTGCAATCTTGCGAGAAGGACACTCGCTTCAGACTCGACCTATAAACTCCAACCAGTCAAGTTGATGCCGTATAAACATCTGTATCGTCTATACATTCACCTCATTCGTATCTGTGATTCTGGAAGTGCACAAATCGAAAAGTGTACAACCATACCTCGTAGAAAGCCAAGCGCTACGAGTGTTTTCATCGAACTTTGGCTCAAGGTTTGAAAAGGCCCGACGCGCTGGGCATCCCATTTCATAACCGCAGGTTATGAGCCCAAGGTGATCGTTTTTTTTGGATTTTCCAAGTCCACCTTCCACCGTCGCGAGGACGGGGAAGTGTTGGTCCCCATGGAACAACGACGACGCCGGCAGCAACGATCTCGAGAGCGGAAAGAGGCAGCGGCTCCACCGGTGGAGATTGGTGTGGCTGACCGCCGGTTGGATGCGCTCATCGAGGAGGAGCTGCAGGGCAAGGCCATGAGGGCGCAATCAGTGCCGGTGAGAGCAGCTGAGATGAAGCGGCTGGGAGCAGCTGCTGGGGCTGGATCGGGCCAGGGAGGCCCTCCGGTGGTGGCTGCATCGAGTGGTCACCAAGGACAACAGGAAGTTCGACAGCTGTTGAATGACCCAAGAGGCCAGGTGATGGGGCTTGGGCATTTGCAGGAGGCAGTTCGGCAGTCATTTGAAGTGTTGCAGCATGCTCTTCAAAGGCCCAGTTCCCAGCCGACCCTACTTGATCCTCTTCTTCGGCCCGGTGATCAGGGAGGTCATGCCGGTACCGGATGCGGAGTTCTCCCAGGGCACGGGCTGGCGGCGGGCACTCCTCTGCGGCAGAGCGGGGTGGAAACGGAGCGCATGGGAGCTTCACCTTACATGACTGGAGCGGGACGTGATGACCTACATCCTCGGGTGCTGGAGCCTTATCCTACCACTCTGGTGGGACCATTGGGGACGGTGAATCCCTTCTGGAGCACTTCTGTGCAGCAAGCGGCCAAGGGTGAGTCACATGTTTGGGAATCTGAGGGGGCCAGAGGCCAACATCCTGCACAGAGTCCAGGTCTGGGACATGTTGAACGTCTTCGAGAACGCATCTTGAGGGAGGCTGAGGAAACCTTTGCTCGGGAGGTGAAGAAGATGACGGACACTGGAGATTCGGCATCATTTACTTCAAGGCAGAGGGGCAGCAGGAGCCAGTGGGGGAACCTACCAAGCTTGGTGCACCACCTGACACTCCTCCTGGTCTTGCTCCAGTACACGATCCTCGAGGTCATGGAAGTGGAGTGATTGGGGCGGCGAACGTGATGAAGCCGCTGGAGTCAGTGACAGCTGCACTGCCTGAGGCAATGCGGAACTTGGAATTGCCACAGTTGCCATCACCTTCGACTGAGAATGCGGCCCTGCTCTTTGGGGACTGGCTGACGGTGATTTCCCCGTTGATGGGAGACCTCAGTACGTCGTCTCGGGAGTTTTGGGAGTGGGTGCAGCGAGAAGTGGAGGTGAAGTACAATGAGTGGCTCTTGGCGACGCCATTGGGGCGGTTGAGAATTAAGGTGGAGGAGCAGGTGTCCCCACGGTTCCAACGATTGGATCAGCGGGCGAGCTCGACCTTGCTGGCCGCGCTCCCGGAACCAGTGAGAAAGGACATTGTTGCAAGTCGAAGAGTGGCGACTCAGGCGATTTTGTACAAGCTCTTCACCATCTACCAATGTGGTGGAAATGCAGAAAGGGGAAATCTGTTGCGCAGCCTGACGAAGGTGAAGTGCGGCAGTTCTATTCAGGATACACTGGGCGCTATCCGAACCTGGCGCAGGTGGATTTGTCGAGCTGAAGAGTTGCATGCGGCGATCCCGGACTCGATGGTCTTGATTCAGGCCTTGTCCAAGGTGGCAGAGATTCAGGATTGCAGCAGCTCGGCAGGAACTTGAGGTCGATCAGAGGCCCACGCTGACCACTACCAAGGAGTTCGCAGAGTTTCTCCAGGCTGAGGCGGAGGATTTGGCGTTGACTATGCCGCATCCCTCGTCTGCCAAGAATACCAGTGCAGGAGCAGTCCTTCAACCGGTAGCAGGAGCTCAGCCAACGATTAAGGCCTTGGGAGGTGGAGGTGGTGGCGGAGATGGACCACCAAAGACGAAATATCCATGCCGTTACTGGGGTACGACTGGTGGGTGCAAGCGGGGAGAGACCTGTACTTTCGCCCATTCCTGGGAGGGCATCAACAAGACGGGCAGGTGTTTTCACTGCTCCGGGGAGAACCACTTTGCGAAGGATTGTCCATATGGTCGGGAACGACCGGAGAAGGATGGAAAGAAGACGGCCAAGTTGAAGGGAAGTGGAAAAGGGACGTCGGAGAAGGAGGAGACTGGCCCGAATGAAAAGTCAGGAACTACTTCATTGATGAGCTCTTTGTCCACGACTACCCGGCCGGTGTCAGGTGGAGGAGAAAAGGGACGGGATGGTGGAGTTGAATTGGAAAAGAAGGGTGATCCGACGTCGGAGCTGATCACCGACACCACATCCCTCTTGAAGTCCCTCCGCAGCATGAAGACCTTCAGATTGAAGCAGATTCATGTGGCAAATACCAATGAGGGTTTGGAGCTGGCACTATTGCATATTGGAGCTACTCACCCATTGAGAATGGCGAGACAAGAGGAGCGAGGGAAGTTGCAGCCTGTGACGGTGGAGCTTGCCCATGGATGTACAACCTTGTACAAGCACCCAGACTTTGACACCCTCTTGTCCTTGGAGCCAGTGGAGCCGATCTCGCCGCTGAGTTTGCTGGTGGAGAATGGGTATGCCATTCACTGGAATGGACAGGGTTGCACGATCATGCACCAGCAGCTTGGAGCTGTGAAGTGTTGGTTGAGGTCGGGGTGCCCTGTCATGAATCGAAAGGATGCCATGGTGATGTTGGCAGAGTTTGAAGAGAACCAGAAGAATCGGAAGAGGTTGTCCCAAGTGGACTGGAATTGGTGGCGTAGCATCATGCCGGACGTGCCGGAGGACGTGCTGGAGATGATGGTTGGGTTTTCGAGTGAACCGAGCCCAGAGCTGCTGCCTTGGAATAGACGTCAGAGGCGTCGACATCAGCGAAGTCGTGGCCTGGTGATTCACCTTTTCTCTGGAGCGGATACAGGGAGGTGGAAGGGCACGCTGCCAGATGACATGGATTGGATTTTCCTGGATCTGGAGTTGGGAGATGGCTTCAATGTGCACAATGCGAATGCGTGGAGCTACGTGTGCTCGCTGGCCAGATCCGGGAAGGTGAAAGGAGTGGTTGGGGGTCCGCCTTGCCGTCCCACAAGCAGATTGAGGTGCAGGGGGCCACCAGGACCAAGGAGGGTGAGAGGCCGTGGCGATGATCGCTGGGGCTTGGAGGGGCTAACCGCCCGAGAGCGTGAACAGGTGCGAGGGGATTCCGCACTGGTGGTGAAACAGGTGGGGCTATGGCACCTCGCGGAGGAACATCGGGAAGGACCTGATCCGGTGGCATTTCTTCTGGAATCTCCGCAGGACCCTGCCAGCTTGATGCCGGGCATGATCATCCGTCTTTCTTTGAATGGCCGTTGTTGAGGAGAATGGTTGATGAGTATGGAATGAGTTTGGTGAGCTTCGACCAAGGAAGAACGGGGCACTCCCGGCGAAAACCCACTAGTTTGCTGACCAACCTTCGTCACCTGGAAGATCTGGATGGACTCAGGGGAGGAGGATCGGCGGACCCGGTGGAAGGAGGACTACAGGAGGGAATGAAAGCATCTCGGTCGTGGGCGCGGTGGTCCAGTGGGCTGGTGAAGGCGATTGGACTGGCCTTGAACCTTCGGTTTGGGGGGAGCTCACTTGAGTCTGGCCAAGATGGATGTTGAAGAGTGGAAGAGACACATCAAGCAGGAGCACGTTCCCTACAGGAGAGATTGTCGGGATTGTGTAGAAGCGATGGGTTTCTCCAGCCCACATCGGCGATCTAGAAATGCCTCTTCGGCCTTTGTGATGGCGGTGGATATCATGGGCCCATTCGAACAGGGGAGAGACCTTGCTTTAACCAGTGGTGCAAGTATGTGATGGTGGCTACAATCCCGGCGCCGATTGTGAAGGATCTGGCCGGGGCACCAGAGGAACCACTAGACCATGAGGTGGAGGTCAAGGATGTGGTGGAGATTGAGGAGGAGAAGGAAGACGTAGAGATGGCGACCGAGGAGCAGGTGATAGAGCTCAACATGAAAGCGGCACTGGAACGAGCCCAGGAAGAGGTTCCGCTACAGAATCTCACGATTGCAGAGCCGATGCAGCCTCGAGGGGTGGAGGACATCGTGCAGGCGCTCTCCAAGGTGCATGCCCACTACAGGATGTTGGGGGTGCGGCCACGTCGGCTGCATTCGGACAGGGAGAAGTCCTTCCTCACGAAGGCTGTGGCCAGGTGGGTTCAGGCCCGGGAGATGGTTCACACGATGACATCAGGTGATGATAGCCAGTCAAATGGCAGGGTGGAGGCAGAGCTTCTGCAGCTCAAGCGAAGGATGAGGCTCCTTCTTCACACCAGCAAGGTGGAGGCGTCGCTCTGGCCATGCGCACTGAGGCATGCTGCTACTCAACGACTTCGCATACAACTTCAGAGGCTGGGAGTGGGATCGAAGCCAATGGTCAACTTCGGATCGATGGTCATGGCTAAAGCCAAGAGATGGCATCACAAAACTGGAGAGCTGACCAACTCGTTCAAGAGAGTGCAGGTGTTGGGACCAAGTCCGTTGATGTCATCTGGTTGGGTAGCCAAGGACAAACAGAACAGAATTCAACATC